GACTTGAGGGCTGACTAAACTTCTACTCTAAATGAAGTATAATTTCCAAAAAATTTCAACAAAACCAGACAGAGTGAATAGAGCTCTTTTACCATCGATAACGATGCATACATTAATGGTAAAGAAGTTGTAATAGAGCACACACACACGCGCGCAATTACACATGCTCACACAGTCAATTTTCTAACGAGAATAAGTCTTTTTGAAAATAGACAACGGACAGGTGAATTTCTCGGACTTTGATAGCAATTTTTTGTTTTGAAGAGGGATGGTGATTAAAACGGTTATCACAACTTTTAGAACCAAGAGTTCATTCAGGCCAACCGTATCCCTAAAGCCAGGCCTAAAAGTAACGGCTAACCATCGAAAATCACAATTTTCAGATGATTAGAAAACAAGGGTGAGATTAAAGTTGAAGTGATTAAGCAACAAAAATTAAAATTGAGAGAGAAACCATAGAGAAAGGGAACAGATGGGGGGGGGGGAAGTGAGAAGAAAATGACACGAAAATAGAGCGTCCTTACCGTTGGTCTTTTAACCAAAGGGTTGTTGGACTTTTCTAGGTATGATCTGTATCAGAGAGTATAAATTGTCAATCAACATTTCTCAAACTGAATGTTTTTAAATAGTTATATTAAGCACAAAAGTTAGAGACACATTGCCCTATTTTTGAAATACTTCATGCTAATATAAAGCATCAGTAATTCTGTAATAAGAGTTGTCTAAAAATATTAAACTACCCTCCAAGTTCTACCATTAACAGACACCGAGTCAGCTGATAAAATAAAAGATCGGTTTGTTAAATAGTCGAACCAGTGGGATAATTTTAGAGTCAAGCGTTCACGAAATTGTGTGGGTGTTTATTACTGAATCAGGAGGAGGGAGTGGGTGACAGGTTGTGGGCGGGTGGGACGTGGAGGACTGCAACAAATCAACTGGAATAGGAATGCAGTATAAGCATAAACAAAAAAGCGCGTTAAAGGTAAAATAGCAACATCTGTAGAAGATCTGGAAAATGGAGTAATAAAGATCCAATATTATTAATGAACGAGAATATGAACTAGACTCTCTCCACTTCTTTCGTCTATATTTGGTTCATTCAATAGCAGCACAAAAGTTTAAGAAATACCTTACATAATAGCATATCCCGTGCATAATATAATTTATACCGCATAAAATTTGACTGGATTAAAGGTAATATTGAATAATTCTGCTCGTGAAGTTAAACTAAAGTTTTCGAATTCAAGCAAGTGATTGTAAAATAATTTAAATGTTACTTAAAATAGAAACGGGGAGTAAAAAGCACCCGCTCGTAATTTTTAGGCACAGAAATCTGCCTCCCTCTCTAGAAATTTAAAGACATGAAAATTCGAAATGATTTCCTAAAATTTCGATTTAATATCGCACTTTAAAGGATAATTCCATGGTAATGCATTATTTTTTGTTGTAATAAAAAAAGCATTATAAAAGCATACAGACGAATGGAAAGTTAAATTTTGAATTAGATTGAGAAAGTCAAGCAATAATCAAATTTAAAATCATGGCTTCCTAAATGATGGCTTAATAGGTAAACCCTTCGTCGAGTTATCAAAATTGTAAAGAGAATAACATTGCACTTTTCGAGAACTCGTTGGTAAAATGAACTTTTCGGTATGGGAGTTTCAAACTTTAAACATATTTTAGAATATCACCACAGAGAAATTAAGTTTCCCATCCACTAATCCTACTCAAAATTTGGCATAGGTTTAAAATTGATTGAAGCGTGCTGAGCAGTAAGTTTAACGTTTGTTATCAAATTTATTTGAGTTTGTAATAAATTGAAAATTCTAGAAAATTGAAGAATCATTATAGTTTGCGGTAAAAGATAATTGAGTTTGCTTTTCAAAAAGAATACACTCGAAGCATTAAACAGTTAATTCAGTTTTAATTTGAAAACTTAAAGCTTAATACAAATATCATTTGAACGAATTTTAGCTAAGGAGTTGGGAGAAAGTTTTAATCATTGTAAATTTAATTTTTGGATTGATAATCCATATAAAAAGTTCTGAGATAGAGGCAATAATTCGAAAGAATAAAGAATATAAATCAAGGTCAAATTCTATACGGCGACATTTCTAAGAAGGTCCGTTAGTCATATTCGCTTAAAAGGCACACACACCAACTTTGGCATCAGTAAATTACTGAAAATGTCCTTTATCGTTAGACCGAAAATGAAACCAACTTGCTTTTAATAAATTATATATTTTCTTATTTTGAGTTTAAGTAAAGGTTATAAATTAGTTTCTCTTACTGCAGATCATTGGTGAAGAGCCCGCATTTCACAATTTCGATGGCGTTAACATCAGCAGCCGGTTTTATATCTCTGCTTGATGATGAAAGGCAGGATATAAAGGTAATCTAAAATCGTATTTATCACACATAAATAGGCTTTTGCTCTTAAAAGGTTGACTGATTTGGTGGATGAATTCTGGGCAGAAATATCTGAATCTGTCGATAAAATCGAAATTCTCTATGAGGACAGTTCCTTTGCCTATAACAAAGCTGCCGCTCTCCTGGCCTCGAAGGTTTATTTTCATCTTGGCGAATATGATGATGCTCTTCACTTCGCTCTTTGTGCTGAGGAATTATTTGATCCTAACGCTAAAGCTGAATATGTGAGAACCATGATTAGTAAGTTGTTTAATCTACTAATTGCTTTTAGCCAAATGCATCGATAAGTATACTTCAATTCGTGCTGAAGACGAGATTAATCCAGGATCTAAACTTTCTGCCAAAGATCTTAAATCTAGCGGTAGAAAATGGTCTGTTGGAGATGGAAGTACTTACTTCCAACTGGAAACCGTTGTCAATCGCATGTTTAACAAGTGTTTTGCCCACAAGCAATTCAAACAAGCCCTTGGAATTGCTATTGAAACGAGGAGAGATGATATTTTTGAGAAAGCCATTATTTTGGCTGATGATCGAGATGATATGCTTCGATATGCTCTCAAAACGGTTCTGACTCTGGTTGATAGCGTTAAATTGCGAAACCGTTTGTTGACGATTCTTGTTCAAATATACAGTAAAAACCCTACACCTGCGGACTCTGTTCACATCTGCCAATGTCTTGTTCTTATGGATAATTCCAAGGTGAGGTCTTATAGTTTTACTGTTTTATTGTTAATAGACTACTGCGGAAGTGCTGGAGAATCTCATCCTTCTCTCAGAGGAAGCTTCTGTCACCGCATATCAAATTGGTTTCGATCTCTACGAGAACGCTACTCAACAATTCCTTCATGGCGTTACTGATGCGCTCTCAAAAAGCGAAAAAATTGGCCATTTGATTGAAAAAGTTGATCCTTCGGCTAAGAATGGTGAGTCGGAACCTAAGAAAAATGAGGTAGCTTCCGGTGAGCCTATTCCTACTTCGGAGTCAACGTCTCTTGAAGAATCGAAGGTTGAACTCTCGGTTAACGATAAAGCCATTAAAAAACGTCTTGAATTGTTGAATTCTATCCTCTCTGGTGATAAGGTGGGTGTTTCGCCGATTTTCTAGATTGCTTCTCTAAATTACGACTGATCGTTTTTCATTTTCTTGACACTTAGGTCATTGAGCTGCATTTGCAATTCCTTATTCGTAATAATAAAGCTGATTTGAGGTTGCTGGAGCGTATTAAAGAGGATGTTCGTAATTCTGTCACTCACAATGCAACTGTTATTGCAAACAGTCTAATGCATTGTGGTACTACATCGGATCAATTCCTTCGCGATCACTTAACTTGGCTCGGCAAAGCGGTTAACTGGGCCAAGTTTACCGCTACAGCTACCCTTGGTGTTATTCATCGTGGAAATGAGAAGGAGGCGTTGAGGCTAATGTCAGCTTATCTCCCTAAGGATGCCTCTGGTTCGTCCGGTAGCTTCTATACTGAAGGTGGTGGCTTGTATGCTCTTGGTCTTATTCATGCCAATCATGGTGGTTCAATGACGGGTAAATTTACATATCCTTGGTTTTGTATTATCAATCTCTTTAGTTCAAGTTATTCATTTTTCCTATAGAATATCTTTTTAACCAATGCAAGGAGGCTACTGCTGAGCCTGTACGCCATGGTGCTTGTCTTGGTCTCGGTCTGGCTGCTATGGGGACTGGACGGGAAGATATTTATGATCAGATCAAGCAGCATTTATATCAGGATGATGCTATTACAGGTGAGTTAGTACCGATTTTATTTTTTAGTATTAATAGTGCTATCTGACTATCGCAAACTATGCGCATGGATTTACCTTTAAGCGGTATCAATTTTCGTTGACGTTAATATAGTTCCAGTATTCGAATTTTTCGTACTTTAGTTTTGATCAATGCCTGTTCAAAAATATTTAGAGAAAATCAATTTATATGGTTCTACTTTGAATTGCCTGTTTTTAATAATTTGGCATTCGATTTACTATAGTTTTTAATTCGACTCTTCCTTGTACTACCTGAATGTTGAGATTATCGTTACTTTTTAATTTTTGAAACCATCGGCTGACTATCATTCAAACAAATGATGTCGAACTCTTGGTACTATTTGAACAAAAATGAGTTTGTGTATGCTCTCACAAATTACTTATTATGGTATAATCAAAGCTCCTTGCATTCTAATAAGTCTTTTTGCTATTGGATGTAAGATTCATCTTTATTTTTTCCTACGAGTACAGAAATGGTATTTATCTTTTAGTAAATCTTCCTACCCTATGTCATAATTACTAAAATTCTGCTTTCAACCCATTCAGTAAATCGAATTTTTTGAATTGTTCATAGAATTGCTCGTTGAATAGAATTTTCTCGATGTATGATAGTACCTTTCTTTGATTTTTACATCCCATAAGTTCTTAAACTTGAAATAATTCTCCAATTTCGGATCAGAATCGTGGGTGGATTGGTAAGTCGGGTAGTAATCACTGAGCAATTGGTAAATAAATTTTGATTTAATGCAATTACAACGTTTTTTTAACTTCAGGTGAAGCTGCTGGTTTGGCAATGGGTTTGGTTATGCTAGGGACCGGATCTTCGACAGCGGTTAACGATCTCTTAAGTTACACAGTTGACACATCTCACGAGAAAATTATGCGAGGTATCGCCCTCGGTATTGCTCTTATCATGTTCGGCAAACGTGAGGAGGCCGATGAACTCATTAACAATCTCATCCAGGAAACTGATCCAATCATTCGTTGGTGTGGTATGGCAACTATCGCTATGGCTTATTGCGGTACAAACAACAATGCCGCTATTGAGAAATTGCTCCATGCCGCTGTTTCTGATACCAATGATGATGTGCGACGTTGGGCACTTACTGCTCTTGGTTTTGTCATGTTTAAGTGAGTTGAAGTACCAAAAATTCCCTTTCGTGAAACAGCATCGTATTGAGACGGTTAATCTTTTAGGGATGCTGATAAGGTGCCTTCTCTGGTCTCCCTTCTTGCTGAATCTTATCACCCGCATCTTCGTTATGGTGCTGCAATGGCTTTGGGTATTGCTTGCGCTGGAACAGCTAACAAGGAAGCCATTGCTTTGCTTGAACAACTCCTTGATGGCACTGTTCATTTTGTGCGTCAAGGAGCGCTCATTGCCATGGCTATGGTCCTTATGCAACAGAATGCTGTCTCCTGTCCAAAATCTGCCGAATTCCGAGAAAGGTGCCTGAAAATTATCTCTGATAGGCATGAAGATATGCTGGCCAAGTTTGGTGCCATCTTGGCTTGTGGTATTCTTGATGCTGGTGGTTGCAATATGACCATCTCACTGCAAACGCGTATCGGTAACACCAACATGTTAGCAGCTGTTGGTCTTCTTGTATTCCAGAACTTCTGGTTCTGGTATCCTCTGACTAACTTCATTAGCTTGGCCTTCTCGCCAACTGCTATTATTGGCCTGAACAAGAATCTTGAAATGCCTCAGATGCAATTCAGGTCGAATGCTAAGCCTTCGATGTTCGCTTATCCTCCACCACTACGTGTGTTTCTCTTCAAATAAACTCCCATTCTCAAATCGAGATTATTATAACTAATATCCTCTCGTTTCTTGCTTTCAGAAATCGAGAAGGAGAAGAAAAAGGAGAAAGTCGAAACTGCTATTTTGAGTATCACGGCTAAACATAAGAAGAGAGGGCTTGAAAAGAGGAAACCAGACATTACCTCATCCTCTGCTGATTCTGATAAGTTTGAGAAGATGGACGTGTAAGTTCTTTTCCTTTAAAATTATGTAATGCAATAGTTAACGCTTTCCTTTTAATCTATGTGCGACAGGAGTCTTATTTCAATTTATACGCACTTATTTACTTCCCTTTTTAAGTTTCGTTATTTGAATTTATTCTTAAATGTTTTTGGCAGCATTTATGGTTTCGAGATTGGAAATAATATAAATAGATAGACAGACCTTAAGAAAGCATATTTTGTTTGCTCTTGGTTGCGCCAAAATTTGCGGAGGGTGACTTTGTTAGTTATGGAATTGGAAATACATCGATATAAAAAAATGATTGTCGGGGTTCATCAAGGATTTCAACGGGGTCGTGCTTGAATATATTTTTTTGTGACTGCTTCCTAGCTCTTCCTATTACTGTTAGAAACGATTTCAATAAATTGCAATATTTCTTCCTTATAATCGTTTTAACATTATTTCTCCCTTCACCTGGTGTGCTATCATTGTTTAGGTTCACCTAGTTTTATGAGATTTGTAGAAGTTATGCTCAAATTTACCTTTATTCTACTTTCAGCGATAGTCAACCATCGTCTTCAACCACGTTGGTAATGAAGAAAGAGCCACAAAAGGAGCCCAATTTTTCTATTCTCTCAAATCCAGCTCGTGTTCTTCGATCCCAACAGCGTGTTCTCTCACTACCCGAGAACTGCAGATATTACTCAATTAAACCCATCACTCAAGCCGGCATTCTCCTTTTCCATGACCATCGACCTGATGAAAAGGAGGTCCTTGTTGAAACTGTCCAACCTCATGGTCCCGTCTTGGGTGGAAGAGGAGGAAAGGGTAATTGATTTACCAGTAGGAATGATTGCGTAGATAATATTTTGCGTAAGGAGTGCATTTGTTCGTTTATTAGATATGAGCGTTTGTGTTGAAATAATTAGGTGACTTAAAGCTCTAAAGATTCTATGTATGTTGTTAAAAAAATAAAAGGACATATCTTATTATTGGTATTCTGTTATGTGAACTTTTAAATGGTTTTCGTTCAATAGTAGATTATTCAAAGTAATTACGCTATTAACAGCATTTTTGAGTGACTGAACTGCAATGCCCTGGTCTGAGTATTTATAACAAAATTAAGTGAGTTATTATCAACGCAGGTAACATCGAATCTTGATCTTACACTCAAGAAGTAAATTTAGTTTGATGTGGGGTCCTGGATATTATTCCAGTATGTTAATGAGATGTAATGGAAAAACGTGTCTAATAAACATATCTTCAGTGTAAAAACTAAGTAGCCAACAAATTTCCAAGGCTCCCAAAAGCAATGTTCAAGGTAGAGGAAATGTTTTTATATGGATCTGAGAAGGCCATATTCTTCTCTTATTGATCGGTAAGTAATTCGCATCATTTGATCTGTGCGTAGGAGCATCTCAATCTCGTAAGTTAACTATCTCATTACGAGATATATTGGATAATTAGTAATTTTGTTCAAATTTTCTGAGAGAACTTTTGACTTATGCAACTTTGATTGGTTGGGGTTGAATGGGACTGAAAATTTGAGAATTGCGAATTCTTAAAGATCTCTTTTTAATTCCAAACAAACCGTTAGATAAGGACATTTAACAAAATTTGGAAAGTGGTTTCATAACAGTAATTTCTGATATAAATGTGGTTAAGGAAAGATGCCAAGAATTATAACTTCAAGTATTTCTTGATTATTCGTCGCAATATCCATCTTTTATTGGCCAATTCTTAAATTAACACTTCAGTGCATTAAGCTTTGCTACATTGATTTGACACAGCATTATCTTTGCGTTACAGAATGATTGTATGGAAATTGTATGTGCCTTGTAAATTTCATTTTTGTCATTGTTTGAAGGACGTATGTGTGAAAAATTTCAGGAAAACTCTAGTTCTTTAAACACTATTTTCTCAATTATCCTTAGTTGAGTTCTTCAAACTAAAATCATCACCATTTAATTCCCTATTTTTATCATTTCTGTTTAGGTGTTGGTAAGAGTATCGGAACTGGTGCTGGTGGAAGTGGTCCATCTGATGCCGCTTCGGCTGATGAAGCTTCCCCTGATACTCCCGTTCACGCTTCCCTAGTTGGAGCGGTTCTTGAAGACGATGACCTCGATGAAGACATCGACGATGAACAGGACGGTGACTCTTTGTCTGAAGATGCAGAAGACGAAAGTCAAGACGGAGAAGATTCCTTGTCTGAGGAGGATGATGATATTGTAGGAGTGGATGACATTGTTGACGATGCAGAAATGGATGATGCGTTGTTGGAGGAGATGGGAGAGCAGTTTTCTTCAGCCGTAGGCGGCCAACGATCTCATCGTTCTCCTAAGCAAGGTGGTCAAAGTGGTGGTGCTTCTAGTTCTTCAGGTACCGCTTCAGAACCAGCTCCTCCAGAAGCCTTCCTCTGGACTGAGGAGGATGAAAATGCCACGGCAACTACTGCTGGTGCTTCAGCTACCAAGACAACTAACACAACGACGACTGCAACGGCTTCAACCGGTGGCAACAGTGGAACTGCAACTACCCAAAGTCAGGCTCCTCATGGTCAAACAGTTGCAGAACCGATGGATACTGATAGCCCTCAGCAGCCACCGGCGACCGAGGAGACTGGATCGGATGTAGATGAGATGATTGCTAGGCAACAGGAAGAAGAGAAGAAAAAGAAGAACCCCTAATTGTAATGTAGAATGGGCTCAGTTTCTCTTGCTAGACCTAAATCGCTGGCACCATTTCTTGTTCCCTCTTCTTTCAACCTTTCTCCTAATCTTTTTTACGGCAATATGTGTCGCCTTCTTGGAGTTGTCAGTAAATGAATTGTAACCTATAAAGTCTTGATTTACTTAAAAGAATAGTTGCCATTTTGCCCTACCAATAATATTTTGTGGGTTCGGATCACTTGTTTGTGACCCCGTTGAGTGCGTTGGATTTCCTCAATCGTTGAAAAGTCGCCGGAAAACCAAAAGTTGAAATGAATTTCGGTTGGTAAGACATTTATTTCCTTGTATTTTCAGGCGATTTTTAAATTAGTAATTTGGTAAAGGTTGTGATTCAAAAGAAATTTTCTAGAATTATGTCTTGTCCAGGTTATGCGATGTAAGCATAGATGTGGCAATTAATGGAATAACTAGTAAGGTTGCCATTCTTAGTTGGTATAGACCAACTATGCATTTTCCTACTCGTTCACTAATAGTTTTGTTGTTTGATCATATCGTTTTGGAAAAACGTTACTTATTTTTATAGGCGAATAAGAACTAAAGGAAAATTACAATTAGTTTAGGAAACTAACAAATGTTGGAAAGTTGGTGAGAAGTGTGGGTAGCATAAAATAACCCGTCCAGTTTCTTCAGAGTCATGTTTTATTGATACGATACCATCCGCTACACGTCAAGATTCCCGAATCCGAATCGGAAGTTTGACTAAAATGCGGCGAATTTATAAGACTTGAAATAGTCAAGGTGAAACATGAAATATCATTTACATTAAGTGATTCATGAAGTAAATGCAAGAATATTAAAAAATAAGAGAGAAAGATGCTCAATAACTGCGATATAATAACTCTAAAGGGGAAATTCCCAAAAGTTCTCTGTCAAGAAATGTTCTCACTCACCTACGTTTTGACGATATGCCGTTCCATTAACTTGTAGCGGACAACTACATTGGTAAAGCCTTGACTCTATGATAGTAGCTCCTATATCTGGCTTGACTCCCCGAACTAGTTTAGTTACAGCGAAGCTAGGGAGGAAAGAGATATATTACACAGAACACGTTTATTGCAAATTATGAAATCGGCAAAAGCGAATAGTTTTCAAATAAATCTAGCATAAGTTGAGTGATCATTAATAGATAAACAGCTCAGCAGAGCTCTAGGTGTGCGTAAAGACAAAAGTTAACTCATGAGCTAAAATGGCAGCAATTGAGTTGTTATTTTGCGAAAATGTCTGGAATATATTTTTATGTAATGGGGTACGACATATATTCAAAGGATATTCAGAATAATAATATCCAAATGCCATATAAACTATCGGGAACATGCAAAACCCAGCGATGCATAATCTGATAACTGGGCTCCAATAAATTTAAATAGAGCCGTTTGAGTGATTGCTCAATAAATTGTTGGTTAAGGATCAAAATGTAATATTTTTTGAAACGTACCTAAGTCAGAAGCTGGAATACAAATAAGCAGAAATCCGTACCATAAGTAACTTAAAAATATTCAACAATTGTTGGGGAAAATTTCAGTTTCTGAACTTGCATACATAAAGATTATTATCGGAGACTGTGCATTCGAATTACTGTAAAGGTATACTGCATTCATAACAATATAATATGCATTGGTGATACACCATTGAAAGGAACCGGATTTCGACAAATACTCTTTTGGAAAGATCAGTTACGTTTATGTAAGTTTAATATACAGCAGCTAACTTTTAAAATATAATTTTGAATGGGCTAAGAAGTTAATTGAACTTCAGGGCTGAATTCATATTTTCAGCAAGCATAATTAGGGCATATCAAGTGTTTGATTAAACTAGCAAAATTCTCCGCGATTCGAATATGCTCCAGCTGTCCCGTGAGGAAAGATTGGCAAATGCAAGGAAAAAAGTAGTGATATTTTTTAGTAGCATTAAATTATTGCTTAGCTTAAAGAGTTCAAATCTAGTCAAAAGCAAGCTCAGATTCAGAACGGGACGCCAGTACCCAATACTTACAATGATACGGCCAACGAAGATCTTGTAATTAAATAAAAGGAGTGTAGTTTTCGATAACTTGAATAATATATTTAATATTTTTTAATTTGACTTAGAATATACAAAATACCTATTCAGATGTAAATGGATAGTAAGTGTGCCTTTTCAGTATTAACATTTTTAGCTCAAATAATGGATATTGCGGAGTTCCTTCGTTCCCAATAGTAAATTCCCCCCAAACAACTGATGCTTTTAATCAAGAATCTTATTTAAATGACCGGTATCGACACCAACATATAACTTCGTCATATCAATCTGGCTCAGAAAATGCATCCGTCAATCTATTTGCCAATGAGCACTCAAAGGTTGAACATTCCGGTCCTTCTTTTTCCAATGGCATGTACGTTTTTTGAGAAGCATTATAATTACTTTAAAATGCTGTTTTATTTAGAACTACTGCAGCCACTGAAAAGGCAGCTCAAATTTCACAGCAAATAAGCCACTTGCTTCAGTCAAGCTTTGATTATACTCGACAGAATCATTCAAGAACTCCATCAGAAGTTACTGCAACTCTCTTCACACATTCAGATGAAGTAAGTGGACGAGAGATTGGTGATGTGGATTCCCACAGGTCGACCTCTCATCTCTCCCTTCCGAATAGTTGGCAGGGCAATACTCGATCTTCCGCGTCTACCAGTACAGCTCTCATTCGGGAGTTGCAGGTTATTCTTATTTTTGTCTCTTTTCTTAGTGTGTTATTTTTAAAACGTTACGTATTAACTATTTCAATACAATAATATTCTTTTAATTTTATCGTGTAATTTTTACTTCTTAATTTACGCATAATCTTGTTGAAGACGCTTAGCAACTTTTGAAGAAGTCTTTGTTTTTTGTTTGTTATCATTTGACTAAAATATTCATTGTAAACAAGTTGAAATTAATTTTTACCGTATCACCCTCTATTCTCTGCTAAAAGTGTCGCTTGTACTTTATATGCCATAAAATTTAAAAACCGTTACCACTATATCTGACAAATCGGTAGTCATTACCTTTCGCCAGTTTGTTAACTTCCGTCATTCTGGATCCTTTTATTATCCACATTAAATGATTCCTCTATTGGGTGCATTACATTTATCCGGCCAATTGCATAATCTTCTGATTTAATTTTGAATGATTACATGGGAGTTGGTGATTGCGGTTTTGTGCTTCTCTGAAATCTCTATTTCGCTTGTTTCCGATTCCAAATCTTTTTTTCTTATCGATAAAAATCTTTCTCTTTTTGAGAGTGAAAGTTATGAGGTATTTGTTTTTTTTCTTCATTTGGGGTAAATGTACTTGGGATGATAAGGTTGACGATCCAAAGTAATCAAGCACTCGACAATACTGTGGGCAAGAATTTACTTTTTTATTCATTGGTAGGAATGTTTATTTATTTATTTGTCTCAAATGACAGGCGTTCTGATAGTTATCATTAGCCTTTTAGTTGACTTCAGGCTTCACAGAGGGGAGGAGGAACATCAAAGTGGAAAAAAAGTCAAGAGGGGGGGG